TGAAGGGCGGGGTATAAATCCAATCTCTTCTTCTTCTTCCTCTTCTTCTTCTTCCTCTTCTTCTTCTTCTTCTTTTACCTCACAGGGTGTCTGTTGTGGGGAGGGGAAGGGAAAGGAGTTTGTAAGCCGCTCTGAGACTCATTTGGGTAGTGAAGGGCAGGGTATAAATTCAGTCTCTTCTCCTCTTCTTCTTCGAGGACTGCAGTGGGGTCAGCCATTTTACTGTTAGATAAAATGATTTCGGTTCTCTGCCTGTCCAATAACCTAGAGTCCTGTGGCACAGTGAAACCTTTTATTCTGCCCTCAGCTTTTGTGGGCTGAGGCTCACGTAATTTATTTTATGTATTTTCCCTTCATCTATCAAACCCCAAAGCGGCTTACGTCGTACTCCTCTCCACTGTTTCACCCTCACAACATCCCTGCGAGGTAGGTTAGCTGGAGAGTGTGCGGCTGACCCAAGGTCGCCCAGCTAGTCTCCATAGCGGAGGGGGGATTCGAACCTGGGATCTCGTAGTCTGATACTCTCATCGACACACCACACAGCTTCGTCAGAAGCATGGATTGTTGCTTGTCTGCATGCATGGGATGAAGCGGGCTCTAATCCGCCAAAAATTATGCTGGAATAAAAACTCAGATTAGACTTTCAGGTGCCCAAAGATTCCTGCTCATTTTCGCCTCCTGCTCTAGAATCCGTATCTTCAACAGTGAGCATAGAGGAGGCCCTAGTGATGGAAAATGTGAACTGCAGGGCTTCCTCCCTGCGAGAAACGGGATTCGAATGAGTAACACCAGGTTCCCAATCCCAACTATGATGGACCTTGAGATAAATTGTACAAAAAGGCAGATTCACAGAAGAGATGCCATTTTGTTTGCAGGCAGACCGTTGCTTTTGAACCCACGCGCACTCGAAACGTTACGTTTGAAAGTAGCCAAAGCAGCTGAACATCAGGAAGACAAAAGTAATGACTACTGGGGAATTAGATCCAGATGGGTAGCCAGTGTTCCCTCTAAGCTGAGTTAGCGTGAGCTAGCTCCCAGTTTTTTAGCCTCCGGCTCACACATTTTGGTCTCAGCTCAGGAAGGAGGGCTCCAGAGCAAACTAATTTGTGCAGTAGCCAAATCGCTCGCTCACAACTTAAGATAAGATAAGTAAGGTGTGTATATAGGTGCATCCTCTCCCCTCTCCCCTCAGCACCTATATACCTCTGGCCAGTTCCTTCATACCCTCCATGTATCTGACGAAGGGAGCTGTGTTTCTCAAAAGCTTATGCTACAATAAACTTTCTCAGTCTTAAAGGTACTACTGGGCTTTTCACTATTTTGGAGATCGGTTGTAATTACACCTGGAGGCTGGCAACCAATGCTCCCTCAGAGAGCCAGTTTGGTGTCGTGGTTAAGTGCGCGGACTCTAATCTGGGAGAACCGGGTTTGATTCCCCACCCCTCCACTTGCACCTGGCTGGATGACCTTGGGCAAGAGTAGCTTTGACAAGAGCTGTCCTTGAAAAACAGCAGTTTCTGTCAGAGCTCTCTCAGCCCCACCTACCTCACAGGGTGTCTGTTGTGGGGAGGAGAAGGGAAAGGAGTTTGTAAGCCGCTCTGAGACACTGAGATAAATCCAATCTCTTCTCTTCATCTTCATAACATACACTAACATAGAGAGCTGGGTGTCATCAACAAATTCATGGCGTCCGATTCCAAAACTATGAATAATTTCTCCTAAGGGCTTTACTGAGCGACTGAATAGCATGTGGAATTAAGACTGAACTCTGGGGAACCCTCCACAGCAATTCCCACCTTGTTGATCACTGGTCTCCGACAGCATTGAGACACCTTTGGGTAGTGAAGGGCGGGGTATAAATCCAATCTCTTCTCTTCTTCTTCTAAGCTGCGGAGTCTGGTGAGCAAAAATTCTACTTTGTGAGCTCCTGGCATTAAAGTTGTGAGCGAGCCATTTGGCCACTGCGTAAATTCGTTTGCTCCAGAGTCATCCTTCCCGAGCTAAGACAAACATGTGTGAGCCGGAGGCTAAAAAAATCTGTGAGCTGGCTCACACTCACTCAGCTTAGAGGGAATACTGCTGGCTACCCTATCCCAGATCCTACTTTACCCACTACGGCAGAGCCCCCCTCGTGAGTCCTCACAGGCCCCCCCCACCATGGTCCCGCTAGTGAGCTCTTGGTTCCTCCCAGTCATGTGATTCTCGGAAGTCAACTGTGACGTCACGAGGGGTTCATTGCTACGGCAACTCAAGTCTAGAACTGCTGCCGCGGAGCACTTTGAAGAGTCTGGTCCATCGACCCCCAGCTAGTTCCTCCAGAACCCACAGCTGACGGATATGGGCCCAGCACTGGCTACAGGGTCATATTCAAGAGCACGGGGGCTTTAAATCTAGCCAGAAACTAGGGCTGCCGACTCCGGGTGGGAGACATTCCTGAAGATTTGAGGTGGCATTTGGGGAATAGGCGGTTGGGGAGGTGAAGGAACTCAACGGGGACGGAATGCCATCTCAGAAGCGGACATTTTCCCCAGGTGAATTGTTCTTCAGGGGGTCGCCAACCTCCAGCTGATGAAGAGGACTGTTTCAGCAGATAAACAAAATCCCATCACAGGGCCATGATCTTAAATAGAATCGTCTCATCCGACATATATCTGTGGGCAGAGAAAAAGCCTCGAAGACGTTTCGACGGATATAACCCTGGGGGTTTTGATTAGCCTTGCCAGCAATTAGAGATCGTGTTATCTTTTGTTTGGTTAGCTGTGGGTGTACATGCTTCTTATGGTGACATTGTGGATTATCTGCAAGGACGATTTGAAAGATTATTCTTACAAATGTTTTTTGCATAGTTGCCGCCGCTTTCACTGGGATTCTTTGGTGTAACCTCCAGGTGGGCCCCGGAGATCTTTCAGAATGACAACTGATTTGCATATGACAGAGATCATTCCCCCTGGAGAAGATAGCATTTCTGGAGGGTGGACTCTCTGACATTATACCCCGTCTCCCCAAACCCTGGTCTCCCCAGTCTCCACCCTGAAATATCAACATATAATAATATAATATAGTATTATAATCTTTCAATTTATTCATCGCTCAATCCTGCAGAGCTTGCTGGCTCTGAGCGATTTACAGTTACTCTTTCAACGCGGGACTAACAATGATTTATGGGGGTAAGGGAGGACAACATATATCTTTTTAATCACACACTTCACAGTCGGCGAGGGTTTGTTCGGCTGCAGGGTCAGACGTATTCCGTCGGCGTCACCTTGGCTTGGCTAGATGACGTCAGGTTCTCCAAGTCTTGCAACGCCGCACTGCCATCGCCTGGCCGGAATGGCCCATTACAGGCTTCGGAGTCGAAGATATTTTTTCTTAGGCTTACAATCCCGTGAGCTGAGCATTCCGGTCGCTGGCTAACACCTCCCCCACTGGGGAAGGGGTCTTTGGTGTGCCCACCCTCTCTAAGGGGTGGTACCCATTTTATCTACTCGCCGAAGCTTTCGAACCGTTTGGTGGTTTCCAGCCCAGGGCTGGCAACCCTATATAATCTTCTCATTCTGAGGAACCAGTGAACGAGGCCCATGGTAGAAGAAGAAGAAGAAGAAGAGATTGGATTTATACCCTGCCCTTCACTCAGAGTCTCAGAGCGGCTTACAATTTCCTTTCCCTTCCCCTCCCAACAACAGACACCCTGTGAGGCAGGTGGGGCTGAGAGAGCTCTTTTGAGAACAGCTCCGAGAGAACTTGTGACTGAGCCAAGGTCACACCACCAGCTGCATGTGGAGGAGTGAGGAATCAAACCCGGTCCTCCCAGATTAGAGTCCGTGCTCCTAACCACTACACCAAACTGGTAGCCTGTCACTTGAGCAGTGGGGGAGTTGCTCACAAAGGAAGTTGACCTTTGCTAATTATTACCTTGGTCTTCATTGGCTGCCTGTAAGGCCTCCTGGAGGAAGTGTCCGGTGGCCCTTTGCTGGATACCAACCCCCTTCCCCACCAAGAGCAGAAACCTCGAAAAGAGCCTGCCCTCTGTCCACACCAGGTTGAATGGAGTTCCTCTAAACCCATCCTTCATTGGCCTTTCTCTATTTTCTCCTGCCCCCTTCCTTCAATGTACCTCTTTCTGAAAGATACGTTTATATAATTCTAGTGACCACCACTAAAGAACTTAAGACATGGGTAACTGAAGAACGTAAGAACCGAGGAGACTAATTCTCATAAGCTAAGGAACCTAACTGTATGAGCATCCTTACAGAACTTCAACATGTGTGACAGAATGAAAGCATGCCTGTTCATCAAGGACGGGTGTTTATTCAGGAACTGGCCTGTGGAATACCGTTGGGACGAATTCAAGAGTAGCAGCAGCAGCAACGTCGGCGGTGGCAGCTCCACCCTCAATAGCCCTCTGAGATCACGGTCGGCCGACAATCCAGGAGAGCCAAGCCCGACCCAAACTAGCATCCTCCATGGCATGAAGCAGGCCTCCAGCAAACTAGCCAGGTATGCCATCGCCCACTCTCTTGGCCGCTGGCTGCTGTACCCGGGCTCCGTTTGGCTCCTGAACAAAATCCCTCTTTCCTTCCTTGTGAAGGGCCGGACTCGCCTCATGGAGGATTTTCATGGGAAACGAGCCAAACTCATCGCCCGGGACGGAAATGAGATTGACACCATGTTTGTAGACAGAAGGAACAAGAAAGATCCCCGGCAGCATGGCAGGCAGTTGGTGATTTGCTGCGAAGGGAACGGCAGCTTTTACGAAATTGGCTGCCTTTTTACCCCCTTGAGAGCCGGGTATTCTGTCCTGGGGTGGAATCATCCGGGTTTTGCTAGGAGCACCGGGAAACCCTACCCGAAGAACGACATCAACGCCATGGAAGTGGTGCTCCAGTATGCTGTCCATCGCCTGAATTTTAGACTGCCGGACATCACCATCTATGGCTATTCCTTGGGCAGCTACACGGCCACATGGGCTGCCATGAGCTACCCCGAACTGGGCGCCTTGATCCTGGACGCCTCCTTTGACGGACTGATCCCGCTGGCGATGAGGATGATCGACAAGAGGTGGAAGAAGCTGGTGCTGAAGACGGTGACGGAGCACTTCAACCTCAACGTGGTCGACCAGCTGTGCAAATACCCGGGGCCTGTCCTGCTGATCCGGAGGACCCTCGACGAAATCACCAGCACCCAGTTTAGCACGGAGAAGCGCATTCCCATTGTCAAGAGCAACCGAGCCAACCAGCTGCTACTGCAGCTCTTGAAGACCCGCTATCCTGAGATCCTCTCCGGGACGGAAGAAGTGCTGCACCATTGGCTCTCGGTGGACAGCCTCCCGTTGGAATCACTTATCTACCACTACCTGTACAAGGTGGATGAAGACTGGTGCCTCCAGAAGCTCCAGAGCTACCGAGCGAGTCTTGGCCCGAAGGCCGATTTCCCGTGGAGACTTGGGAAAGGCCTCCCTTGCAGGCAGAAGCAACAGCTGGCCCTGTTCCTGGCCAAGAAGCACATGAAGAACGTGGTGACCACGCATGGGAGAACTTTGCCGGCTGAGGAGTTTCAGTTGCCCTGGAAGCTCTAGCTTAGGACAGTCAGGGGGATGATCTGGTTTCCGAGAGAGAAAGAGAGAAATACAAGCTAAGGTTTCAGTTGTTGTGGTTGTGTGCCTACAGTTGTGAAGACATCATGGTGCTCACTTTGATTTCTAATGTAGGGTTGCCAACCTTCAGGGGGAGCCTGAAGACCTCCTGGAATTGCGAGAGATCTCCAGACTGTAGGGATGTTCCTGGAGAAAAGGGCTGCTTTGGAGGGTAGACTCTATGGTATTATACTCCGCTGAAGTCCCTCCCCTCCCCAGATGGCTATCCTATCAATCACTGATAGCTGGTGTGTAAATGATGGTTGCCCAGGGTCAGAAATGGCAAATCTCCATGGCAAATCACCTCCTCCCAGGCCATAACATGTAGGAGAAATTGGGTTTTTAAAACATTTTTTAAATTCATTTTAAAATAATCATTAACAACAATGAACTTCAAAAGCATTAAACAAGCAACAACAAGATATAAGGCTCAAGTAGCCTCAAAAGTCTATTATGTAACAGTAAAAACTATTTTAACATTTTTGAACCTTTAAGGACCAGTAATGAAGAGTATGAAGTGCTGGTAATTATGCTACCTCTGTCAGAAAAGCGAGTGTGAGGACTAGATTAGAACTGGATCTTAGATGCAGAAGGCTTTTGTATGTATCTCAGAGTGTACAATAGCGAGCTAGAAGAAAAGCCAAGAAGAGTAAGTAAATTGTTCCCTGTAGTAATCAAAATCTCCATACCTACTTTCCAGCTCAGCAAAAAAATGGTACATGCACAGTTACAAACTGGGGGGGGGGGGAGAGAGAGTCAAAACTGTGCACCAAACATAGCCTGTATTGAAAATTCTATATATTTAGGATATGGTAATGATTCCATGTTTTGGATTAGCATAATAGGCCACACCTAACTGCGGAAACTCATTAGGATTGGCTACATTAGGGGTGTGTGGCCTAACATGCAAAGGAGTTCCTGCTACAAAAAAAGCCCTGGTTTGACAACAAAGCAAACAGAATGAGAAGCAAAAGGTGGGTGTGGCTGGATGAGCACACTTCTGGTAACATGGGGTTGTGGCCTAATATGCTAATGAGATATGGTGTCAGGGGTGTGGCCTAATATGCTAATGAGTTTCTGCTGTTGGGTGTGGCCTATTATTCTAATAAGTACCTGCCGGGCTTTTTCTACAAAAAAAAGCCCTGGTTTTAAGACAGCGTTCTGTGTATGTGTCTTTGGAAAGTGAAGTGTGGAAGAGCTATGAAGAGAGTCTGTGTGACTCTCAAAGTTTTGGGAGAGAGTCTATATAGGAAAGAAACAAGTAGTGTCTAAACTGTGTGGTTAGACAAATGTTATATCTTGTGTGCCTAAGACAAAGAGCTTAGCCAGTGTGGCTACATATATGAGAGAGAGAAGCCTGTCAGAGGGGAATTTTGGTATCTGAGAGACTGTGTGTGACACCTTACCAGTTATATTTACAAGCTCCTTTTTCCTGAAACAGTTCAAGACAACCAGAAACCTATTTTGTTCTTTATTCAATAAATCAATTTTTGTTTAAACATATCCCAGAAATCAGTACAAGTCCTTCCTCAGGGCCACGTAGTCCTCTGAAGTGCCCAGACCCTAGGTCATACTACCAGCAGAGAGAGAGATTTGGAATTTTTAATTCCTGATGACAGCAGGAAACGACCAAGTTTATATACACAGAGGGTGGTTTAAAGGAAAATCAGTCTTCCCCAAATAGCAAGAACGCCACAGATATGCTTATTAAACAACTACTAAATGCATACAAAATGCTAACAGATTCTATGTTTCCAGGGTCTTACCACTTTGTATGAATTTAGTCATTGTTTAATAAGCATATCTTAAATATAGAATTTTCGATACAGACTTTGTTTGGTGCACAGTTTTGACATTTTCCCTACTTTCCAATTCAGGCAGGTTCTGGGTACAGCATGGAGATTCGCACCACAATGGCCCTGATGCGCACAGCATGCAATCCTCCTTCGTCTAGAGCTTGAATAGCTTGCCACAGGGAGGCCGAGCCTTGCATGGAGGCACAGTGGTGCCTAAATCCAGCAGGCAGAAAGCTGGTTGTCACGAAAAGGCAAGCTTGGGAGTTGTGGACAAGGTGTCGGGGTGCCAATCTCCATGGGGTCTGGCGTTCTCTCAGAATTACAACTGATTTCCAGACTACAGAGATCAGTTACCCTGGAGAAATATAGAATCATAAAATCAGAGTTAAAAGGGGCCGTACAGACCATCTAGTCCAGTGGTGGCAAACCTATGGCATGGGGGCCAGAGGTGGCAGAGCCCACTCTGTGGGCACGTTTGCCATCGCCCCAGCCAGGCCCAGACCATCATTAAAGTCTTGAATTCTCTGCCAAATAATTTTAAGTAAATGAAAGCATTTGGGATGGCTTTCCTTACTTTGTTTTGGATCATCTTAAGTTAATGTATGAGGGTGTTTTTTTCTAAAGTAAAACCTCAGTATTCAGGTTAAATTGCCGTGTTGGCACTTTGCGATAACAAAGTGGGTTTTGGGTCGCAGTTTGGGCACTCAGTCTCTAAAAGGTTCGCCATCACTGATCTAGTCCAACCCCCTGCCCAATGCAGGACCAGCCTGAAGCATCTCTGACAAATATTCGTCCAGCCTCTTCTTGAAAGCTGCCAGTGAAGGGGAGCTCACCACCTCCCCAGGTAGCTGATTCCACCTTTGAACCACTCTGACCGTGAAAAGGTTTTTCCTACTATCCAGCCGATACCTTCCTGCATGTAATTTAAACCCGTTGCTTCGGGTCCTCTCCTCTGCTGCCACCTGGAACAGCTCCTTGCCCTCCTCCACATGACAGCCTTTCAGACATTTAAAGAGAGCAATCATGTCCCCCCTCAACCTCCTCTTCTCCAAACTAAACCTTCCCAGGGCCCTCAGCCTTTCCTCGTAGGGCTCAGTCTCCAGACCCCTGATCATCCTCGTCACCCTCTTCCGTACCCTCTCGATTTTGCCCACATCCTTTTTGGAGTGAGGCCTCCAGAACTAGACAGGACTCCAGGTGCGGCCTGACCAAGGCAGTATACAGAGGGGCTGTGACCTCCTGAGATTTCAATGCTATGGCCCTTTTTGTTAAGTCGCTCGCTTAACAAAGTAGTCGGAGAGTGATTCAGCAAGAACACAACTTTATTCTTCAACTCGAACACAACCCCAACACGGATCAACATCTGATAGCCAGAACAGCCTTTACATTGCAGCTGTCCAGCTTTTAAACATACCAGGCTAATGTAGCCACACCCACTGTACACATATCAACCTATGAGGTTGCAGAGATAAGGTCCAATCACATTACCGGTAGTTCCCGCTCAGGGAGCTTGCTTGAAGTGATTGGCTTGTGTTGGATCCCCAAGCATCGAGAATAAATCCACGTTTTCAAGAAAAGCAAAATTTATTTCAAAGCGTTGAAGACATACTCAAACACGTTCTTTGTTAGAACTGGGGATACACAGTTAGGTCAAGCATAATAAAGGGAATTCAAACAGATACAGATCCAATGAATAGCATTCCCGCTGGCGGGCTAATGAAACGGTTGCGCGCCCAGTCCATGGGAACCAGGCAGAACATCAGACAAAACACAGGTGCAGTACTCATGAGAAAAGCAATAGGCAAGCATTACAGCCTCGTCTCCCCCACACAACCTCCAGCAGTTATCTTGTGCATTCCAACGCAGGAGCAGGATGATAGAAAACAAGCCGGGTGCAACAGGGAAAGGATATGTACACAGAGGTCACAGAAAACAGAATGGCAGCTTGCTGACAGCTTGTTACTTCCTGGGCTAGCAATACTATTGGATGGATGTGGATCCTAGCCCAGGACGAAGCTTAACATTACAGTTCAGTTAGATATTTCACAACATGTCATGCATTCAAGGCAGCTTTGAATACGCTGCACTTTTAATACAACTCGATTGAATTTGCCTTTTTTGCCACCGCATCACACTGACTGCTCATATTCAGTTTACAGTCCACATTTAGTTTATGGTCATATTTAGTTGACAGTTCGGTACAGACTTTGTTTGGTGCACAATGTTGACATTTTTTCCTGGTTTCTAACTGTGCAGGGACCAATTTTTGCTGAACTGCTTAGGAGTATGAACTCTGTGGCATTACACTGCTGAATTTCTCCCAACACTGACCTCTTCAGACTCCGTCCCCAAATCTTCAAAAATTTTCCAGCCTTGAGTTGGCAGCTCTAAAGTGCTTTGGCAAGCTGGTCTAGACTATTACGCAGTAACATCGCTTTTGCTCAGAATGAGCAGCCGTGGCAGAATCAGGGGTTTTATACAGCCGAGAGCTCGATTGGCTCCTTTGTGTCACCTGACAACCGCTACGATAGGTTGTTCGAGTGACTCTTCACCAAAGAGCAGTGGAGAGCAAGAATGGCCACCGACTTGACCTAGTGGCTGGACTGAGATCTGGAAGAGCCAGGTTCAAATTCTCACTGTGCCATAGACGTTCTCTTGGTGACCTCGGGCCAGTCACACACACTCAGCCTGACCCACCTCACAGGGTGGTTGTTGTGATGATGAAATAGAGAAGGGGGAAATGTTGCCAGCCATTTTGGATTCCTATTGGGGGGGAAAGTAGAGAATGAATGAATGAATGAATGAATGAATGAATGAGTAAATGTTCTTCTCCTGGCAAGATGAGACCATCATGCACATTATTCTCTAATATTTGTTAATATTCTCTAATTTCACTATTATATATTACTACATACTCAAATATTATTTTTGCCATATCAGCTTAATCTTTAACTCCATTCACATTATACCAATCATATAGTCTCTTCCAGGTTTTTTGAAATGTCAATTTCTTCGTGCCTCTCGTTTCCATAGTTAATTTGTCTATTTCCGCCGCTTCTAAGAGTTTATTAATGTATTCCTGTTTGGTTGGTGTTTCTTGAATCTTCCAATATTTGGCATGTAATATCCTTGCCGCCATTGACATGT